GGACAACACGGAAGATAGGTATAAGATAAAAAGTAAATTAGGAAACACGTTGTAGTAAAAAAAAAGAAATTAAAGTTAGTTTAGTTTATGAAAGTTAGGTCCATTTTCATGAGGAAATAAAAAAGTTTCCATTGTCAGTTACAAAAACAGTTGCGGGAGCGTTAACTTGTCTCTTCTTGTCTTATTGTCAAATCAATGTTCAAAGTGTGTGTGTGGGGTTGTTTTTTTGTCATTAGGTGTAAAATAAATAATGCAAAAGTATTTAAGTTTTAAAAAGAGAACGGCGTAAATCTACGTTCGCTCTACCTTTATTTTTCTTGAGATAATTTATGTTTTTTGAGATAATTTTATGCTGGATATGAAAGTTTTATTAGGTACTAGTAAAGCTTTGGCGATTATAAATTATGTAAATTGTAATTATGGACTTCATAATTTGAGTAAAATAAAAAATTCCAAGTACAATAATTTATAAGAAACTTGTAATCAACTAATTAAAATGAATTAAAAGTGAAAATGTATAAGAATTAGGTTGTCCTCAGAGGATTTTAACTTGATATTATAAACATATAACTACATCGAATTATTAAGGATATAGAATTTGATAAAAATATTTTATCTTTAAGATTAAAGAAGACTTTGATAAAGTCTTCTTCATTTTACGGATAAAATTATCTCTGAATCTTCTTAACATTCGTATCTCGACTGGCTTGTATCTTGTTACAAGATCTTTGCTATACGATGTCTTAACTCACCCTTTCATTGGTCGGCGTTGGAATCAGCATTCTGTTAATAAAAAATAATAAACCGATTTAAAAAAATCCGTATGAAGAGAAACAACTGAAAAAAGAGAAATAATACCACAAATTTATTGTATTAAATAAAATAGAAACACAAAAAGTGTATTAATCAATATTTTTTTGAGATACCTATAACATTTAGTACACGTGATTAGAAGCCCATATATATGAATATTACCACAGTACAAATATATAACGTCATCCCAACGAAATTAAATACATTCACATCGAATCGATAACCTCCTACTGTTGAAGTCGGTGGGTTAGTCAATGTGTGATAGCTTTAAGATTGTCGTCTATTTCTAGGCTGTTTTTATAACACAATGGCACTGCTGCGTATTTGTGCTGCTTAATAATTTCTCAACGTTCTTTCTTATTTTATATCAGCGGTGTACCTTCCATATCCAAGTTTTACAATGTCATTAACTTAGTCCAATATCACTTATTTTCAATTATAATTCTTACCTATATTCGATTTGGTGTTGTGGCCTTTAAATATCTACTTGCCGTGTAACATATTCTAATACTTAAGATATTGTATCCCAATGTAATAAGCTGTAATAAATACCTATTTTGGACTGCGAGGTTTAATTTTCAGTGAACTCCAATAACAATGTAGGTAGGCGTATGATATTACACTACAAGCCGGATGCGACTTCGAGCTTCATTAAATTTAATGCTTTAAAGATATTAATCTTTTTACATCGTAAATTTTAGTTGATATACTCTAAACAGGATATTTCTTTAATGTTTTGGTAAAATGCCAGATAGTTTTGACGATAATAGTTTGTAATATGAGTAACTGAACAGTTAATATAATGGAATCTAGTGAATTAATTAGTGATATAATATAGCTCTATTTTTTATTAATTTTTAACTAAATTTTCTAAATATTCTTTAAATATAAATGAAATTCGTCCAAGTATGTATCGGAGTATATACTGTGTTAGTTTCGCATTTTTAGGGTTTTGCGCCCAAAGTGTAAAATGGGACTCTATCATTACGACTTCGTTGTCCATCTGTCTGTCACCAGGCTGTATTTCACGAGTGGGACAGTTGAATCATATATGATGTATTTCTGTTGCCGATATACTTAGAATAAAATAAATATTTAAAGGGCTCCCATAAAAGTAACTTGATATTTTAGCGCGTTTTATAGATAACGGTATGAATCCTACAAGCACGATTGCGACTCGCTCTTGGCCGGTTTTTTATTTACAACAAACAATAAATAATTAAATCAAGTAATTTTCAATGCAATGCAATATCCCTTTTTTGTAATAAAGAAACGTGAGTTCTGTATTATTAAACAGATTTTTCGACAGTAATTTTGGTGAGTTTATAAACTGAAAAATGGGACAGAAAGATCTACGGAAAATTAAAAAGTAGGTAATCGCACGGTTGCTTGTTTCATCGCTTAGCCCTTAACTATAATTGCGTTGAAGTCAGTGGTGCATTCTTCTGTTATTCTTTACGTGTTATCGTATCGCCATTAATTCGTTATTGTCAATAACGAATTAAAGTAATATTAATCACTATCAAGTATCTTTTTTCCACGACTGTCCTTTTCCTAGTCTTCAATATCAATCTTCAAACTAAATAAGTTTTCTGCATCATTAGTGCAACTCAAATCAAAGTTGGTACTGTTCTCAACTAAACAGTTTTCAAGAAAATTCTAGGATTGCATAATTATGAGGAAGCTTTATAGATATTCTTTAAATTCCTTTGATGGCGTAACGTCAAATTTCTCTTACAACGCCATTCTATAAAAAAAAATGATGTCAATATTCTGATATACCTTCTCTTCAAATTCCTCTAAAAGTGTTAAATTTCAATTGCAGGTTATCGCCATGACTCTCACTTACTACGATCGAAGATCCCTTCCTAAAATTACCAATCCAATCCAGAATTTATTACGGTATTAGGAACTTAGCTCATAAACCATCTGTGGGTCACACGTTTTCCTGACTTACTAAACTTATAGTTATTTCATTCAACCTGCTTTGATCTGTAATCTCCCAATCAATGTTTTTATCTTCTTCAGCGTGTATTTCAGGTTCTTACCAGAATGTACCTCATAGAACATTGAATAGAACAAAATATTTCACTAGCGGTAGCACAAAATACCTCGTCTGACATGGATAATTTAACAACGACAAAAATTTCATTAGAACAATAATTAAATTTTACGTAACTGAAATGACAAATTTCTGCAAATGATTTTGAATTTAATTGGCTATATGTCAAGGGTTAAAATTAATTTTAGAACTATGACAGTGTTTTATAATCTGATGTGATGTTGATTGTACCTAATGTCTAACGTTAGAATACAAAGTCTGGAGGTTTTCGGTGGAAATATTACGACAACGTGTCTGGGATTAGAGTAGTGGGAGGCGCTTAATATGGGAACATACGGGTTTAATAACAAACGGCTCGTTGAATCGTGATTACTTTAGAGATCTTATATAAAACGCTCTGTACAATGCTCTGTATTACTTTTATGTTTTAAAAATAAAATAGGTAGATAAAGAAAAATATAGCTTATTTAGTTACTACGTGAAAGAAGGGTCAACAAACAACTATTTTGACACGCACACAACACTCAACGGAGGGAAAATTCCCTATGTGATTGTATTTAATATTGTATATATTTAACATTATGATCGTTTAAAAAAATCTCTAGCTATTATGTTCGCCGATAACAGAATAATGAATATATGACTGTATAAAGCTGCCAGAACTAGAGAGTAACAGATCTTGCTCTATTTAAGAAGTATCGTTGTAGTATCACTTATTACAAATTTATACTACTTATAATTATAAATAATTCAATTGGCACTGCACTGACTTTGTACAGCAATAATTAATATATAACAATATTTAGTTCCCATAAGCCATGTTTTTTTCCGACATCTAACGAGATTTCCACCAGTTTAAACAAAATGTCAATCAATTATAGTTATATATTCCTTCTACGTAGTAGGTTACGGTCTATTATGTCTGGGTCTATTCATAGAAGTGAGGAAATTAATAAATTGATGATGTTCCTAAAGAATTACACAGACAGACAGACCGACTCATTGTCGACTCGGGGGAGATTTGTAATAACTAAGAATTACAATTCGAACGTCGCGTGATTGTTCCGAATCTTTTGTCGTGTGTTTACAATGGACATGACGCCACCGCGCCGGTTGAGTTGTTGCTTGTATTCTGCAATAACACCTGGAAATTTATGCGATGGGTAAACATCACGTGAAAATGTCTTCATTTTAATTAAATTGTCAGCAGCAAAATGATATAAACAGTTAGATTAATCATGACAGTACACGAGTACTTAGGTACATGTCATTTTGATCCTGAAGATTTACTAGACTGGCATATAAAAGAAGAAAATACTCATGTTAGTTTAAATATGGAGTAAGAAGATAATCTTCTATGTACAGGGAATTTCAATCATTTATAACAAACTAACCCTTAAATGTATTTTATAGAAAATGTGATTCACTTCACTCCTCTGTCATTCTTTATCTGTTAGGCTTTTGACCATCTTCGGTGATGTTTTTGCTGTCACATAAGATAACCCTGGGTCCTTCAAACGAAGTGTGAAGAGGCTCTTTAGCAGGCTGGCAAGACAGTGATGGCTGCCGGGAGTAGTTTCGACTTCTTAAAGCGATTACTATTACTGGATTGTGATAATACTAGTAATTGTGATAGTAGTGTGTTGCAGACACTTTGTTGTGCAACAATAAAATAAATTTTCAATAAGGTATAGTACCTGTGCGAAGTCGATCTTCTAGTTGTATCTTAATATAAAAGTACCTGTTAGTCTCTGTCTGCAAAATTAGCTAAAGTTTAGTACGAGTAGTTAGGAATGACCTTAGAACTCAAAATTTTTTAAAATGTTTTTACTTATTTTTTATACCGAAATACTCACACAAAGAAACATATCAATCTTAGTGGCAGGTTTAGCTAGTATAATAAAGAGTTTTCAGTTTTATGAACGCTTCGAGCGATGTGTACACATTTAATTAATAATACCATTTGTCTTTTTGTAACTTACCACTTCAAATTTGATTGTGGTAAATTGTTATTATCTGGTAATAAGACGTATAGTATCGGCAATCAGACTACGTTAAAGCGTCCGTGGTTCATCCTATTAACTCAGCTATATGGTTTAAGTAAATTGAATATCGTCTATCGAAAATGAATATTGTCCGATTCATATCGATCCTCAGAATCACATGTGCTGCTGTGGAAGTGCATGTCGGTTAGTTTGGATCTCAATCCTTTTATTTCAATGTCAGCTAAGCTATCAGTGCTATATTTATAGTTTTATCCTGTTTTATAAATACTTCCCGATGATTAACTGTAAATATTACAGAAATAAACTACGCACTTTTATGAAACAGATATAAATTAACTTTTCTGGTAGATTCAGATGGATTTTTATTTAATTATTTAGAGTTTTACAATCATTTCCGCTAAACTGTTTAAAAAAGTAGTGCCTCGCTACCACAAGTCAGCCTTAGCGTGGGAGCACTAGAAATCTTAGCGCAAGGTAAATAAATGTAATGCATGTATGTAGTTGTACTGGTAGTATGTAGTGATAAAAATGAATGAAATGAATTATGTTATTGAAAATGAAATTGTAAGCATTATATAATAAAAATAAATTGTAATAAATTTGATGGTTTGATGTGTAGGATATTCTATAATATCCATTTTTCCAAATAAATTTAGTATTAAAACGAAATGGAAAGAGAGACGACCATTTATGAGAGAAAGATGTTGAGTGATTTGATATTAGATGTTTTATTTACTCTTATTTTATTACAGGTACCAATGAGAAACTCGAGTCTAGCAAATATAACAAAACATTGACTGAAGTACGGAGAGAGGCCGCGACCAAACTGCTAGTAATTTCCACTGAGTTTAAATCTGATGTAAGTAATTTTAAACCTGCTATTGCACTTAAGTATACACTGAAGTGTAACAAACATTGGTTTGACCATTGGGTCAAACAAAGAAGACCGTAGTGGGAATTTGATTACCAATTGCGGATTATGTTCGAAATGTGGTTTACAAATGCTATCTAGACAGTTAGCTACAAGCAACGTCTGTTGGGGTTCTGGTTTGCAACCGTGTGGAACATATTTAAAGGATTTTGAAAACATCACAAACATTTTTAAAACAGTACTTATCTACGTGATTAAAAGGAGTTTTTTTTTCTATGGACGATAGGTCCATTACAAATCCTGGCGTTTACTATTAAAACGCACCTCTATTTGTCAGTTATAATCAATAGATTATAGTGGTAATATTTATTTCTTATTATCTGACCGTAACACTGAGTTTTTACAACAATTTATAATAATATAAACAAACATTTTTTTAAGAAAAAAGTGTAGTTTCTTTCAGTGTTCTACATTAAGTTTATGCTTTGTTTTGATACAATTGCGGCTAGGAAACACTCTCGGAATCTAGTAGCCTAAAAAATTTGTCTCCTTTTGAGGGTTAAGTTAAATAAAATTTAAAATTATTATGGAAAGTTAATAGAGCTCAACTACAATCCTTTATGATACAGTTCTTGTTACTAGACCACAAAATAATAAATAAGTATAACTGTCATCATAGATATGTGATGCATATTGCACTAAAATATTGGATTTCAGGTTCAACCACAAAATTCAAGTTCATATTCTATTGAAATACGATTATTACGTAAAATTACCAGAATGGAGGCCTTGATGCAGTGGCGGACTAACATCATCGTAGGCCCTGAGCGGCAATAGGCCGGATCGACAACTTTTTCCAACGGGGCAGATGATGTTGCGTCAACACCTCCCTCCACCCACGCATACATTTGACTGCAGTTATTTAAGCCTTATTAGTCCGCCACTGTTTTGGTGTTGTTGTCTTATTCGAAATTTATCATTACTCCTAGGGACTGAAAGCAGATATAAACATTTTATTTTACATGTTTATACACGATTAGCTGTTTGATTTCGCCGTCGTAAATTATAGTCTATAGTCTATGGTGTAGCTTACTGTAGGTGAAAGAATTTTTAAAATTGTTCCAGTATTTTCGGAGCCTATTTAATCCAAACAATCAAATCTATCCTCTTTATAATATTAGTATAGATTAACATTAAATTTATTGTAATTTAATTCTCTAAATTGTGAAAGAGGATTTGTATTAATCTATGATTTGTCAATTTCCAGGATGGCTTTATCGACCTAATGCGTCGCATTGAGAATAGTCTAGAGCAATATGAAGCCAACTACACGGATTATATGACTAATGTTAAAAGTAAGAAGACGTGGACTTTCTGGAATGCGATGTTCTATGCTGGGACTATTTATACTACCATAGGTAAGTATTTATATATTTGTTTATGTTACTACACGTGAGTTTGCTTTTAATTTGTATTTCGTATTAAAAAAAGGTTAAAGTCCTTCCGTCGTTTTCAATAGAGTTAAATATACCTAACCAACGAGATGTACGACCGTATGTATGTTTTTTTTTAATGTATTTTACGGTTACTTTTAATTAATAATATGAATATATCAAAAAAATGCTACTCATAAGATAATAGAACATCAGGTAAATCAAAACTAACTATTTAATCGATTGAAAAAACTAACTATTTAATTTAATTGATCTTAATGGTTTGGAAGTAGAGTTTCAAATCATTTTAGATAATTTAGTACTTTTATTCAGATTACAACTCGGTCACATGGTATATGCACTCAAGAAAAATCTCCTAATGAAAACACGAAGCAACATAGCTAACAAGAAATTGCTCTTTATAAAACACAAGGCGCTACTTAACGACAGCAACAGCTTTGTTTTGTTTAAAAATCAGCCGCCTAAATTTTGCTGCAGAGTGACGGCATCGCCGACGATTCAATGCGAATAGCATACGAAAGTCACAAATCCAATTATTTCGATGTCTCAAAGACTGCACTTGTCGTTAACAAGTTCAAAGTTTAATGGCTACGATGTTTGTTTTGTTTCCGAAGATAAACAGTGGCAGACCAAACTTTGAAATAAAAGCAGTTCAAAAACAAATTCAGTTACAAATATTTTACCGTAAATTCAGCTTTTCATTCTTTAAACGACTTTTTGAGTTTATCTTGTCGTACCGAATTACTTGGATATCCAGTGTAGATAGTTTATGAAACGTGGGTTTGTTGATGGGGGATGAGAAGCACCCCACAGGCTTCAGGTAAAAAAGAAAAAAAAAATGTTTTTCAAGCTTCATTTATTTTTATTATTCTCAGGGGTAGGTATACAGATTCGCTCGGTACGGTCATTGTGACTTCTATTGGAAGGACTTGTCTTAAAAGTTGAGAAAGTGATTTAAGGTCAAGTTCGCGGGGTCACAGTGTCATGGGCCGGGCAGAGGCTGGCAAGGGTGCATGCAAACTACGAAGATTCGACAGGTAGGACGCAGAGTAGCGTAGGTCAGGCGGTCTCCGGCGGAAGAACCCCGATTTCGAAGTTATGTAGCACACACTTAAAAATATTAGAAAAACACTTAAAAATCAAGTATTGCCGAGAGAGAGGTCGTTTATATACTAATTCACCATCAGGAGCCGCGCTGCGCTCCCACGTCTGCCCACTTCCGTACAATAATTGTTACCAATGTACCTACAATTATTTTTAATGAATATTTTTCTTTAAATGTTTGAATTGGCGTTTATTTGTATCAAAACGTAAAAACGAATTAAATGCATCAGCTAAACATGCAAAAGACAAGCAGTTTATTAAGTAAAATGTATAATACTATTAGTGTTGGTATATATTGAGTATTTAAGGTACTATCAAGATTACATAAAACATTTGGATAATATTTGATACGCTAGATTTCTTTCCTTCCTTTCGCAGCTTTTGATTACCATAAAAGGTAATAATAATTTTAAAATTATTATAAAGAGTAGATTCGATCATAATTATATACATGAAAAAGAGAGCAGTGTGTGTAATATTTGTGATTTTTCATTATCATAGTTTTTGTGCAACAGATAATTGAGAGGTAGTGCAATTTTACATAATTCTTAATTGGAGATGTTCTTGATAATTTTCGTGAAAAGAATTAATTGACGCGATATGTAATTTATTCAATTAATTCGCAAAACATTATTGTGTTACCGTTTTGTTTCTGGTTAAGAAAATCGTTGAAGCATAACATATTCTATGACTTTTATCACTTTTTTATATAAATATTTTATATAATTTTTTATATAAATTTATATAAATTATTTTTTATGTTAATAATGTCTTTAATTCGGCTCCGTATAAATTTGTATGATAAAATCAACCTCAGTCACGGTTGGGTCTCATTTAATTTTAACTCGATTCGTCAAATACGTGAGGGCACTGACAATTAAATTCATGAAAGCAAAATTTCCTTTCAGATTCCAAGAAGTTCATACAATGAATTTCGGTGTAAAAGAATGATGAATCTAATGAAATATTAAATTATTCTTTTGTAATATTTAAATTAAATGTTAAAATAATTTCATGCTCTTAACTTGAGTGAACTGAGTTGAGAATACATTATCTTTTACTTTTGTATCATTAACTATAGCGCAAATTATATCTACATCGTGAGTGAAATCCGAATAGTCTTGACCTCCTTTAGATATTCGAAGATTCGAAGTGATTACGGTGATGCGACCTGTCACAGCGTTTTGGTCCAACTTCTTATTTTCGGTACAGGCGCATCTAACTATACTGCTCTATGCGAATGTTGGTATGATTGTTTTAGATTTGGAACGGTGCCCAACGGGCTTGGCTCTTTCGCTCAGTCACCATTCGACTCAACAATCGGGTGTTTATTTCGAAAATTCGCGAACATATTATTACTTTCTAAACACTTACAAGCACCTTTAATATAAAATGATAAAGTGAGTGAAAAGGAAAGTTGAGAGAGCTTTAATGAAGATAGAAATGTTGGAGTGTCTAAAATAGATTCTTTTATTAGATAGTGCGTCGTGCCTCGCTATGCCTCGATATAGTTGAGGAATCTGTTATCGACAAAGATCTGTCAGAGGTAAGTTTACTTATATTGTTTTGAAATTCTTGGCTAACTTTAACATGTACGCTATTGCTTATTGGCAGATTGTACGTTATCAATTGCCAAATCAAAAAGTTCATTGAGTTCAGTATTTTACGCCGCATTATAAGATAAGTGTTATTTTTTCTTTTCAGTTGCAGTCATTTATAAATAAAAAGGTGATGAGTGAAGAAGGAAATGAAGCGAAAAGTAGTTTGACCCTCTCCATTCCCAAAATAAAAGCTGAATCCGAAACCCAGACCACTGGTCAATTAGTGTCGAGATCTCCTGAAATAATAAAAGACGAAAATATGGATACTGAACAGAAACAAATAATGTCAATTAGAAAAAGAAGAAATCTATCGAAAAATCGAGGACAAGCTGCTCGTCAAAGAGAAAAGACTCCTGAACCTGGAAGAACTCCTATTCCACATGAAGACACGACTACATCTGATGACGAAGAAACGAAATTACAACCACAACGAAATTCAAGAGAACTTGAGGCAGAAAAGAACTATTTAGAAGTGAAAAGATTAGTCCAAGAGAGAGCTAGTGTCAAAGATCCGGTGTATGATTTAGATACTGACGAAATATTGGAAGCTAGAGTTACAGCAGCAAATGAAAGAAGACGACGAAGCATATCACCTTTTGCAGTACCAGATAAGGAGGAACTAAAAGGACTTGAACGAAAGGGAAGCTTTATTGATCCCTCTAATAAATTGTTATCTACGAATTATAATTTGAGTCCAAAAGATGAAGATAAAAATCGCCGTAATTCTTTAACTATTGAACCTGCAAAAGATAGCAAACTTTCCCTTTCCCCACCAACAACAGCTTCTCCAATAGAAAAAGGATTTCCATTTCCTTTGCCCACGACTCCAAAAAAGTTAACTGAAATTGTATACGATGATGAAAAAACGGAAGGTAGAAATATTAAATGTGCTGAAAATAATGATGAAATATTTACTTTTGAAGAAAAAGAACCTAAGCAGTGTTCAAAAATGCCTCCTAAAACACCTGATACGCCAAACTCTCCTGGTGAACTCGTGACTAAAGTTATTCAAGTGGAAAGAACACCCAGTAAAAAGTTAACTTCAGATAAAAAACCAAACGTCGAAGTAAGGGAAAGAATTGTCAGAACTCCAAGTAGGAAAATGTCATCAGATGTTAAGCCAGTAATTATAAAGCAGCAACTTGCAAAACAGGTAAAAGATGAACCACAAGCTAGAGTGCCACCTGTTAAACCTGCTCGCAGTAAATCAGCATCAAGATTTGGGGTCAGTTTTTATCTGAAATTGTTTTTAATTTTGTTTGTTGCTTTGTTAATAGCGTTGTATTTTCAATTGGCCTAAAAATTCTTGAAGTTGAAATTTGGTATCATGTATATATATGGACTTTGATTAATATCACAAGAAGAAAACTAATTTATATCCGTGATGACGTTTGCAGAGTAAAACAAGTGAGAGTGAAATGAGTGAAGATCAAGGAAATCAACTACAAAACAATCCTGCAGTACAGAAACGTAAGGTCCAACCAATTCCTCGGCGTTTCACTAAAAATAGATCTCCAAGGGCTAATCGCTCACAATCAATAAACAGATTCGATGAAACACAGGTAATAGATAAAACTGGGACTGGAATGAGTCAAACTAGTAGAGAGATTATCGACCTTATGCAAAAAGCTAGAGCTAGAAGTTTATCTATACCTAAAGATGACCCAAGAATTCCACCAGTGTATAAGCATCATTCTAAAAATTTGCAAACACCTTCTATAACTCCGTCAACTCTGAGAAATGTTAGAGGCATATCCTGTCCTAAAACGATTCAAATTATCAGTGATAAGGAAATTTTGTCTGGTTTGTCAACAAATCAAAGAGTTGGCTTAGAACAAGGAAAGCGTAGCAAACAAAGTTCTGGATATATTGATGCAAGTCAATCGGAATACACTTCTAGTTGTTATTCAACTTCTCCTAGTGAAAACGAATATGAATTTGATTTATCCGAACGAACAGCTGAATTGACTCGAAAACTGAAGATGCTCAGTCAAGAAGTGGAACGAGTTGAAACTAAAAGTAACTTAATTTTATCTAAAGAGATTGCAAATAGGCACAAAGAACCGATAATTGATGAAAAGCCTAAAGTACGTAAAAGGTCTTTAATTAGCGCCAAAAACGAAATTCAGAAACCAAATGATAGCCAATTATCAGACAGTAAAAAAAAGGCTGATAATGATGATAAGAAACAAAAAGCATTAAAATCTAGATGGAGAATGATATCCTGTTGGCGGGAATTTAAGCGGGAACGCAAAACAGATTGTGATAAAATACGTTCGCTTAGAAATAGATGTATTTGTGATTTGTTGATTTTGATAATATTATGCGGTTTGGGTGGCATGATGTTTAAATCTTTTGAAGGATCGTTTGAAAATACTTACAAATGCGGGTCTAGGAGTGTTAAGAGAGATTTTATTGAAGCATTGTGGCGCGGTAGTCATTACTTACGCGAAGAAGACTGGAAGTCTTTAGCTCGTAATAAATTACACGAATTTGAGGATCAACTGCATACAGCATTTGAAGCTGGCGTCACTTCTTACAGTGGACAGCGGTCGTGGAATTTCATGAACTCCTTCATATACTGTCTTACGTTAATTACAACTATTGGTAAGGGCGATTTTTGTTGGATATTATTATATTAATTAATATATCAGGTTTCTACCTGATTCTACTCTCGTAATTATCAAATATAATTTACATAAATGAAGATTTCAGGGACTTATGCATAAATTATGTATTTTAATGCAAGAAAGATAATATCCCACATAGTAATAGCATACCTATTTGTGTATGTATTTATTGTATCTGAAATAACATTCATTGTCATCAATACGCATGTAGGAGTTTTTGTAATTTTATATTATTTTTAGAGTTTTCTTTATACATGTTAGGGTTGTTATTATATAATTTTAAAGCAATAAACAGCCTAGTAGCTTTAAATCTGAAGATACTTTTATTATGATGTCAATATTCTAGATAAGAAAAGTATTATTATAATGTTATACCTTATTTCGCATACAACTTAAATGGAAAAAAATAAAGAGAATAACTTTTATTTTATTTTCATTCCATAGCTTTACCGGTTATATTAAGTTTATAAATTGTTTATATTTAGATGTTTCCTTGAAATGGCATAGACTGGCATAGACAAATTAATGTCTTCCTTAAAATAATATCTTATTTTAGTTGTCTTAATTAAATTTATATTTATAAAATGTATAAATTACGAGCAAACCTCACGTTTATATAAAATTAATAAACATCGACTACATAATCGAAACGGCTTTCTTAAAATTTTCAGGTTACGGCCATATTGCACCTAAAACTACATATGGGAGAGCGGCGACCATAATTTATGCCATAATAGGTATACCACTATTCTTGATTGTGCTAGCTGACTTTGGCAAACTCTTTACGAGGATCATCAAATTCTTTTGGTCGTTTATTCGGAGATTTTACTACACAAGAAGTTGCCGGAAAGTCCGGAGAACCGTCCCCGTACAGGTAAATGGTTATAAGAGCATTTCATAATTTGTGTTATAGAAAAATATTTCCAAAATTTTATGGCGAACATAAAATTGTGAGTTAATTCCCTAATTTCAAAATCTATCGCAACCACTTTCAAAGGTGTAGCGATGTATGGAATTATTCTCATCATTGCTTTCGGAATGATGTTTTAAATGATTGAAACATAGTAAAAACTTAGTCACTTATACGTTAATTAATGTTCACGTCTAACGTTTGCCTTATACAATTCTAATGTATAATGGCGACTCTAGCAAAAGTCGATTTTTGCAGGAAACTAATGACCAAAGGTCATGTCCGTTTCTTTTAACTAACATATTAAAAAACTGAAATTTGCAAAGTTCGAATCTTAGATATCAATACAAATACGAAAAAGTACAAATAGAATATGGGTTGTTTATTGAGTTTAGAAAATTAATTTACTTTTATGCGAGAAATCAATAAAGTACCCTAGCGACATCTAGTTTGATTTCGGGAACTAATGTATTTTCTTAAATACATCCTTATTAAAGTTAAATTGACGACATAGTTCATACAATATCTTTAAAAAAAAAGTAGTGATCGCAGTAGTTATTAAATGTTAAATTGCAGTAGCGTGAAATTCGTGAATGTCTATAAAATATCTAATTGAAAAGATTGCGATATATTTTAAAATTAGACAATTATGCCTATGATTCGAGCTGACTCGTAACAGTCATAACAGTTCGCAGTACTTGGCATCTTCAGAATTTATGAGTACCTATTTTTTAGTAAATAAAATAAATGTAGTTATTGTGCATACAAATAAATCATGTGCATAAACCACGTGTCACTCTTAACACTTTATTTTAATAAACGTAGTAAATTATCATGTAAATAAATAGACAACATCACATACGTCGCTCAGATTCCAAGATGAGCAGCTAAAGCCCGCGTATTGTAATATCTGAGATAATGAAGGTAGCTTTTCTACATTGACTCGTCCGGGGATCGAACCCTGAACCTCAGAGATGGTGACACCTTGAAACTGGCATGCGAACTTCTCGTCTACGGAAGCCGTCATCGTAATAAAAATATTTATATACATATATATAAGTTGATTTACGTATAAAAGCGTACAAATTATCTTTTCCATTAAAATTTATTTTGTCCAAACGCGAACTGTCAAAAGTGTGTAGAGTGCTTAATGCATTGCCATTCGCGGCCATCTCACAAATTAATGTTATTATTAAATGTATGCAAAAAATATTACTTCAAAAGTATTCATCGTCGAGATTCTAAATTCTCATTAAACCTTTATGTTATGTTCTGAAACGATTGTGGAAATTTGAAATTTTATTGCTACTTAAATCTCAAGAATACATTGACTTTGTGTCCGAGTGGTTAGCACGCCGATTTCAAGTTGGCACCATCTATGAGGGCTCTCGGTTCTAGAAAAAAAAAGTATGTCGAGGTACATATTTTCGTTTTTTCTGTGTTCGATAATAATCTTTAACTATTTAATTTGGGATAAGTAGATTAGGAGATTTGATCTAATATTTATTTAGTAATTTTATTTATTTATGTATATTATTTATTGATTACTTGTTTCTTCAAGTAAATCAAATGACATATCCTCAAGAAAAATCTTTTGCTTTTCTTTTGATACTTCATCTCTTTTTATTTAGAAATGAGTAATGATTACGCCGCGGGCTGTGCGTTGTCAACAATCCCCTCTTTTGTTTGCTCACAAAGCGATAGGAATTAAAGGGCAATATAAGAAATAATAACAAGAGATTTTCTAATTTGCAGGAGGTAATGAAAGGACTGAATGTTGTCTCTGATTTTGTTCGGAGACCCTCCCAAATATTCAACGAAGAAGACATCGAAGACGGCCAGACCCTGCCACCGCCTTTGACTAGGAAACCCAGTGACGTCCCTCCACCCTTACCCCCTAAACCAGGAGAGGCGATAATTATAGATGATAATGATACAGATCCAGAGACACCTGCTCCTTCGGTATTTGAAATTGACGATGAGTTTAACCTACCAATATCAGTAGCGATAGTAATCTTAGTGATATATATATTTATAGGTGCATTCATTTATAACCTTTGGGAGAATTGGACATTCTTTGAGTCGTTCTATTTCGTTTTTATATCAATGTCTACAATAGGTCTTGGTGATTTAGTACCCGATCATCCTCATAGAATGATGGCCTCCATTATGTATCTCGTTTTTGGTTTGGCTCTAACATCTATGTGTATTAATGTTGTCCAAGTCAAACTTAATGATACATTTAAGCAGGCTAGTGCCAAACTTGGAGCTACTATAGGCCTAAAGGTTGCTGAAGAAGATGGAAGCCTTGTACCCATTACACCACCACCCATTGAGATAGTACCAGTCCATAAATCTAAGACAGAACATGAAGATAATATTAAACGTAAACAATTAGAAAGCGAATTAAAAGAAAATGAATCCAAAGCAAATGAATCCAAAGAAAATGAATCCAAAGAAAATGAATCCAAAGAAAATGAATCTAAAGAAAATGAATTCAAAGAAAATGAGTCCAAAGAAAATGAATCCAAAGAATATGAATCCAAAGAAAATGATTCTAATGATAAAAATAGGTAGAGTCATTAAGATTGATTGGTGCTATAATCTAATCGTATTTATTATAAGTTATATTTTTAAGTAACTACTTACTAACTTATAGATTATTATATTTTACATATTTATTGTGTTGTTGATGTGTGTGTAAATAAAGTTTTTTTTTGTAATTTAACTTTATTTTTATTAAAATTAGTAATAACATGAATTTGAATTTTTTAACCTATATTGTGAGTAAAATAAGAGTTTTTAGATAGTCAAAAATTCCGGCTGAAATAGTTAAGGATAAAAATTCCTTTATTATTGCAAAAAATAAGAAGAACGAGAATTATTTTTGTTTTATTCATTGATTCAGGCATAATAGGAATGTTCGCACCGAATGAGTTTTGAATGAACTTCTCATTATAAAAGAAAATATGCTTACTTTTCAATGAAACCCCTGTGTACGCCGGCATGATATTTCGAAGCTGCCTCCTTCAATGCCGGTTGTTCAATAATATTTTTTCGTGCCATTGTGGCGGTAATGGAACCTTGGTGAAAGGCTTCGCAAGAATTTAATTATGCCCTCCTGTAATCCAGCCGAAGGATGTTTGCCGAGTGCCCTTTTTGCTTGTCGACGTGCAAGTATGCGACCGCTTAAAACATTACCTAACATTTTATAATGAAATCTTTTTGTTGTGATTTGTATTTTTCAAGAAACAATTAATTTTTTTATGCGTTAAAATCATAGTTGGTATATTTAGTAGGTTTGTATTTAGTAAATCATTTAAAAAAAACACATTTTTTTGAGGAAACTACTGCTAGGTGAAATTATAATATGTCTTATCAATAAAATTGTTTTTCTTTGATTTATAATTATTCATGTATAGGTATATGAAAATGAAATAATGTTTGTTAGTTAACGGTCAGATGTCGCTATTTCTGTTTTGAAATATTAGTAAAATTTCAAGGAAGTTTGGAAAGATGAGAAAATATGAAGAAATTGCCAGATAAATTGTAAAAGCAGCGATTTCATTTTTCCATACAAACTGTTGTGTTTGTTGGGCAGGATGCTATCAGATTTTAATTTTATTTAACGTCGATACTGAGGCAATACGAAGTTTGTCGGGTTAGTTAGTTATATATATAACTCATCAAGCTTGTGAAAGTTACAATATATTTACACATCATCACCAACCTAAATTATGATTAGTGAGTGTTAGCGATTTCAGATGTCAGATCCAATGGCTTAATGTATCTTCTGTAGCACTTATAAGCTCACGATAATAAATTTTTGGTCATTTTTGGCCATAGCGGATGTTGCTTAATAACCGTATCTCAGATAGAACTCGCGAATCACTGCGCTATTAAGCTTCACGGCGCCTTCGAGCTCCAACAATACACATATTTTGTAATTAATATTAATTACACTAATTTTGCAATTTGATCGCTCTTTAGAAGATTAAACAGGGAGAGATAGTGAAGATAAACCGGGTGGAGCAGTCTTTGTTTCTCTCAGACCTTCCTTTTTTATTTCGTAGTTTAATGAAAACTTGACGTAGCGATTAATTCATCAAAATTTCTATTTACTGTGGTTATAAATACTTAAAGGTAGGTAATCAATGTTGACTTATTATTTTAATGTTGAGTAACATTTCACGTACAATAACTGATATGTGTTTGCGTATTAACATTACCTACCTTTATATGTTAGAATATTCGATGTCATTCCAAACCTTACTACATGGAGGTTTAAGTTCGAAATCAATTTGTATTAACTGTCACAGCATAGAGTTTTAATGAAATAAAACCTTTATTATATTTTGAAGTACACACATAGGTTTAAGTTGATTGAACCTCTAATATATGACAGCGCTGTACTCGACTTTGTTTGAACGCTGTTTTTATTACAGAATAGCATTGCTCTAGGTATTCATATATCTAAGTATACTGTTACTATGTTGATCAATATAATTTTAGTTCAATGGATAGATGAAGATAAAAAATATGAAGATATAAATATTTCTAAAACTAAGTTTTAACACAATTACAAGAGTTGAGAAATTTTACTTGGTGACGAAAATTTATCTTAGTCCTATTTTTAACGGCGAATCTATTCATAATGTGTCTACAAAGTTTATGGTCCTTATGAAGTTTTAGGGCCGCATTTCAGGATTATTATTACTAGAATAATAAAATTTAATGTTGTCATAAATAGGTCATAAAAAATCTTCTCGTGTAGCATAAACTATAGGGAGTGGATTTTATGAGACATGTCACTAATGGTACAAACAGTTGTAGATAAGGCAGAAAAATAAGTAGGAAAAAAATGAAAGCTAAAGTTGTAGGAAATCATAATAGTGAATGGATAACTTGGGTGAACAGAAGGATACAGAAAATAGGATACAGAAGGATATCATAATAGTGAAATTTTTAGGATTCCGCATATCGAAACGAAAATCGGAACCTTGTAGGATCGTTTGGTTGTCTGTTTGTCTGTCTTGACAGACAAATAGTACTTGTCTTTGTCAGTATAGTCATGAACCGTTCTGATTCCTAGTCCGGTAAATAAAAATTTTAACTATTCTTTGATCTGTATGTTTCCATTGTTTTGGATTTCTACAATATTTAACTACAAAACACTCAACCTGTATACAAGATGTTGAATAAAAATCAGAAATCTCGTGACAATCACAAAAGTAATTATGCTTCTCTGTTAAATGTTAAATCCTTGCACGAACAAATACTTCCACAACATTACTTACCTACGCAATAATGAAATGTTCTATCTGATAAAATGGTCACGTTTTACGTTAACATAAGGTAGGAAACCCTAAGTCCGGCACTGTGCCATTGTCGAAGTTACCGAACAAGATTCCGAACACTGCCAAACAACCTCTATCGGATCCGATTGTGGTTTCCGAGATCTTACTTAGGTACTGCTTAATATAGGACACAAACACTCTCAACTACACACTGAAATTTTAATGAAGAAATAAAAAATATGTTGTCGAAATCATAATATTTGTAGTGTTCTATGAAATTGTGTTTAAAAAAATATTACTAAGCTACGTTCCTGCTTTACCCCTTTAGTATTTAATTTTTATTTAAATTTAGAAAATCAATTTTACTACTAGCATTTATTACGTTACGTGAAAAAGAACGAAAATTACTATAAATATTATAGTTATTATATTTGAGCCGTTTTGATGTCGAAGCAAAAGTGTCGAATGTAGCATAGTCATCTATAAGTTACCAGAATCTGATGGCACACATTAAAAATATACAATACCGTTAATATAATTCACATAGCACTTGCACTCTGATCGCCTAACCGATAGCTATAAACACAGATAGGCTATTAAAAATAAAATAAAGCAATAAATTACATGTAGGTAACAATAAATATATTTTTTTAAGCAACTGAAGTGTGGATGGTTGTTCCTGCGAGCGCTTGCAACATGTACGGGAGTCTATATTTTCAATTGTAGGACACAATTATTGCACTCATAAATGTTAAGCATTGAACAGTACAGTTATATTATACCCTCACGCCTATGTGACGGTGGCAAAATGGCAAAGCCACGTGTTTTGACGAAGGTTTGGGCTTGTAAAGTTAAAGATTAAGTTAGGGCCTGTAGAGTTAGAAACTTGGCTTTACATAAGATCTAAAAGCTTTTTGACAGAGCGACACTGATTACATTTATTCAGCTCTTTTGGCGTACCACTGAACGATTTTGGTCACACTTACACAGACGCGTAGAGCGTTGAAATATTCTGATGAGATGATTTTATTGACCACGATAGCTTAAAACAACATTTTATATCTTCATAATTAATGTTTCAGAAGTCATTTGCGATGTCTTAGAATTTCCTTTGTTTTTGTGATTATCACAAAGTTCCCATCTCATCTCATATTTCGTGGAAAATATAAAACAAAGAAAAGTATCAAATAACCGCATATCTAAGGCAATATTTAAAACATATTAAGGGTACTACCGTAATAAATGTGTCACGAAAAGTAAACAACTTTTACCCTTTAAGGCCCCAATGCTTTATCACCTAAAATACTATCTGGTTGTATGGAGTATTTCGCAGTCTGTCTCGCATTTGGATGTTTTTTTTTTGCTGTGTGCAGCTTGACCATTCTGTAAAAATATAATACAACGCTGTCACAGAATAAGAGGTCCAATCAAGTAAAATCCTTGTTAACGTTTGAAGTCGATTTCATTTGATTTATCTTTAAATGCTGTGACACGCCCTGTGTTTGATGGTGTATTTTTAACATATATATATTTTTTTTAATAGAAAAAATCCTCTTTCTTTTCATTCATTATAGCACTTATGTGTGTTACCGTGTTGTATATGTTTTAAAAGATATAATACTTATGTTATGGAGAGGTAAAAATTCCAACTGTATTTGTTTGTAGAGGGTAATAGTCTACTTCGAAGGTAGTAATCCGATCATGAAAATTCACACACAGAAAGCTACGTTATCACTGAAGTCACGGAGAAACAGCTAGTATAATTTTATCTGATAGTTTTATGTTTTGGAATTTATAGATAATACACAGAATAATATTTAAGTTTCAGCCTTCTATTAAAGTTTCAACTACATCGGCGAGAATCTGCTCATTGGTAGTATGTATTGATCGATTAGTTACTCTAGATGGGAGCGACCAAGAACACGGTTCTTCGATTAACAATAAAGTGCTAACATAATTTGGATCAATTTTGCTCGTAGGCGTTGTCTATTCCAATTTATAAAAAAATAATACGGGATATAACCGCATTAAAAGGACAATCCCTTTATCTGTAGATAATGTTATTGGTTATTTAATTAGCAGTAGTTTATTTTTAAAATTAATGAATTATCCCAAATTGTTATCCCATTGTTTAATCGTTTGTTATCCCAAATGAAATATTATCGTGACAATGCACAAAGGTAAAGAGAAAACGGGACGTTATATCGAATGTGACAGTGACATCTGGGTGTCTCTTTGTTTTTGTAGACATGAAATCAAAATGGGTAGAAATTATTTTAATTAATTACTTTACATTGGCAGAATTGTGCGAAACTCGTAGTCTAATAATAAAAGAAGAAGAAGAATAAATGAAAATGTCTTTATTCAAGTAAGCTTGTTACAAGCACTCTTGAATCGTCCAAAAAAAAATTTTCCCCTATCACTCACAGGACGCCGTTTAGCTGACAAGAAGAACAAGCGAAAAAAACTTAAATTACAATTTTCAAAGTCTTGTTGGTACTACATATAATCAGTCGTAATAGAACAAAGCGAAGGCTATTAATTAAGCATTGCGGTCCTTAAAATAATCTTCAAGTTTATAATAGCCTTTACTCATAAGTATGTTCTTTATATGAATTTTAAATTTATTTACGGGTAGGTCAA